TGCTATTATGCAGCTGTTTCTGTTGTCAATGTTGTATGTGAGCCCCGGGTTCGATTCCCGACATGGGTACAATGTGTGAAGCCCATTTCTGGTGTCCCCCGCCGTGATATTGCTGGACTATTCCTAAAAGCGGCGTAAAACCATACTCACTCACCCAAGGGTCTGGGTGTATTGATTATTACTAGGTACTTAAGTGGTCAGTTTCCTTCAAATTAACCTCGCGACATTACCTATTCCTGGACATGTCCAGCAAATGAGTGTGGGAAAGATAAATAAGATTGATGGCACAACAATTGTTGAATCTACTTGACCATCAATCTTTAAGCCGGAGAAGACACAGATAATTTGACTCAAGCCCACGGGATGCATTTTAGCTTCATGAGCAAATGGTTGGATGAAGGTATGGCGCCTGTAGATGTGTTTATCATATTGCTTTATCCACTTCTTCAATCATTACGACATGTTTTCTCCTCCACACTAATTGACCCGACAGCTGTATCGATTTTGCCTAAGACGTGTGTTAGTTTTGTTTATCACTACTAAGGAAACTGTGTTATTTTTCAGTTTCCTGGCGGTTATATCCAAGTACTGAAAACCAACTTGCTGTTCCTATATTATTTAATAGGTGCAATGGTACTTGTATTTCTCCTTCACTATATATAAAGGCGGTCGGGTAGCCTATTGGTTAAAGCCTTCTCTCGTCGTTAGATTCCCGCCATGGGTACAATGTTTAAAGCCCATTTCTGGTGTCCCCTGCCGCGATATTGCTGGGATATTGCTAAAGGCAGCGTAAAACCATACTCACTCACTCACAAAAATAATGTAGGCGGTTAGAACTATTTTTCGAGCCTATTGTCTTTGGATCAATTACAAGATGGAACAATGGCTGACACATTGTATGAATGAGCGTTATTTATGAGAAAAAACATGACCATATATTGTTATGTCGCTGTTCAGTTGTTCACAAATAACTCTTTTCAAATTCGTAACACGAGTGTAAATACACTTCAATCATCTTGAAAGGACTCTGAAAGTCTTGTTCATTGTAGTTTTGTTGGAAATTGTTATTCAAAGACATTCAGATACTCGTGACTGTCTGATATGTCTACCCTTCACCTGGCATTATCCGTCACGTGATTAGAAAGCTTGTTTGTTGTTTATCTCCCTCCTCAGCATTATGAAGGCTGTGTGACGGCGGTCAGTAAATAATTGAGACTGGAAAAGGTAATCTCCGCCAAGTGGGGAAGCTTTCACAATAAAGTCGTGCATTGTATCCGTGTAAATAAAAGCAACAAACCATTTATTCACATTAAGCAATCTCGTATCGTTGGGACCGGACCTGTGAAGATCCGGGGTAGAATAGGTTTTCAGCAACCCATGCTTGCCCTTAAAGACGATTATGCTTGTCGTAAGAGGCGACTAAGGGATCGGGTGGTCAGTCTCGCTGACTTGGTTGATATGCATGTCATCGTATCCCAGTTGCGTGGATGATCGATGCTGATGATGTCTTTCTGTGAATATCTGGTCCAGACTCAATTATTTACAGACCGCCCTCATATAGCTGGAATATTGCTGAGTGCGGCGTTAAACATGAATGGTTGGGGTCGCGGCGTCGAGGTTTAGAGTTGCGTTGCTTAGCAATGCCAGGAACTAAAAGTTGTGGGTCATTGTGATCCCTGTGATCTTTGGGGCGACAATGTCGGTGATTGTTTATGAACTATATCACTGAACTTCAGTTTAATCTGACTGCTGTATAACAAAACCGACAAAGCCATTTCCAAAATCATAAAAAGAATCTCAAGTAAAAGCAGAGTCCATAGTACCGTCACGGCTAATCGTGAGCATGTGTTTATGAATCACTCGAGAAAGGGTGATGACACCAGGTGTTCGTCAACGGTCGGGCGTATTCTGTACCACCGTTAGCACTCGTCATAAACACTTGCAAAACCGACAAAACACTTTCCATAATCATAAAAAAATAATCTCAAGTAGTGAGTGATTGAGTATGGTTTTACACCGCTTTTAGCAATATTCCAGCAATATCACGACGGGGGACACCAGAAATGGGCTTCACACATTGTACCCATGTCGGGAATCGAACCCGGGTCTTCCGCGTGACGAGCGAACACTTTAACCACTAGGCTACCCGACCGCCCCGAATCTCAAGTTAAAGCAGAATCCATTGTACGGTTACGGCTAATCGTGAGCATGTGTTTATGAATCACTGTCAAAAAGTGACTATACCAGGTGTTCGTCAAACGTCGGGGGTATTCTACTACCGTACACTGAAACGCAAGTCGATTGTTCATCTGAAAAAACCATGCCAACATTTGGTACAAGACAAAATATGGAACTTCATCGCACATCTGTCACTGATGCGTCCAATTTGGAAATGTCTTCCACATGTCTACCATAAACTATTTGAAATCTTTACTGATGAGCCCTTGAATGTTGCTAGCCTGATCCAAAAGCTTTATATCGAACATCTTATTTCACCAGCTGTTCTTGGACGAAAAGACCAGAGTATTATTAACATTATTGTGTAATTGTGTAATCTATCTATTTTGTATAACATATCTTTGGTAGTGTTAGTTTCGAGACTTTGTGGTGTAGATTTGCGTCCGTCAGTCGTAAAAAATGCCGGTCGAAGAATCGAATTGAACTATTTTCTAACATACCTAAAGTAGAAAAAGAGACGTTGTTGGACCAGTCTTCAAAAGCACCTCCGCTCGTTGCGCTGTCTCAACTCTCTAACAGGTTGTGGCTTTGAAACGAAGACTAGCTATTATGACGGTTAAGATGGGTTTTACGAAACGAAAGTTTTAAAAATGTCGCGATTTATGTAACTTTGAGCTTCCACAAAAATTAAATGTCAAAACACCATCCCGTCACATCTGTTTACTTAATGTGTGAGTCTGCTTGTGAAAACGATTGAAGTACTGTGGGATCTAGATCCGTACGTCTGGTTTCCATTAGCAACACGGGCAATTCAAATCGAAGCAATTCAGTTCATTAAACCAATAACTGTTTAGTTTGAATGTGTCGTCCAGTGATCTTTACCAACACTCAACCAAGTCCGGTTGGCTATTCGGATTCATGTTAACTTCTTTATCATCAACTCAGCCCACTGTGAATACAATTGTCCCTATATCCAATCAACGGTCTCCAGTTGCCATATCATGGTGTAAATTGAAGGATTAAATGTAGACAGACAGACAGACAGACAGACAGACAGACAGACAGACAGACAGACAGATTTATTCAGTAATCAGGCCTCCAGCCCATAATACATGTTAACATAATGTAGATCATACATGCTTATATACTATGGCGTTATGTAAAGACAAATAGTTTTAGAATACGTTAGAACAGTCATGAGTTACGTATATTCATAACTTTAGATAGAAATAGTCCAGTGTGTTTTAAAGTTCTTGTTGAGTTTGTTGACATAAGGTTTAAAAACTGTTGAAATGTCCTAAAGTTGATTTCACTTTCAGCAAAGCATTCTCTTCTTGCAGTTCGGTATCTGTCACAGATTGACAATACATGATACTCATCCTCAATTAGAGTTAAACCTTTGGAGTGGCAATACATGCACACACGTTGTTCATATGGGATTTTAGAATGTCTTCCAGTTTCAACTGCAAGTTTAAAGTTGTTACACCTGAACATACATATTAAATGTAGTCGTTCATAAGGCAAGACCCGGACAAATGTGACTAGGCTGTAGTTTTATTATCCAGTAAACCAATCACACTTGGTTCAATGTCTAGCTACTCTCAAACATAGGGGCGCGATGTGATGTGGCCTGAGGCGCCTCTGTTTGAAGCATCAGTCACAACATGATATACTGTGGAGTTCGAATCCCAGATTCGCAACTGTTATAACCCTTGGTTTGTCTGTACCACGGGTACACCAACGTGGAGACAGGGTTGACGAATGAATTTCTTAAAATTCTTTCAACGGTGATGCATGGGAAGCTATTTCCCCACACGTGTATGAGTGGGTGAGGTGAGGTGAAATGGGGTTTAACGTCGCGTCCAAGATTATTGCACTTATATAGCGACATGCATGTACGTATGTGTGTTTGTATGGCTGCTTGTGCTAGTCCGGACTGATGCCGATTTATAGTGCTAGCCCACTGAGATACCATGCCGCAGTTTAACATGAATACCCCACTCAGACACAGTATACTGACTCCGAGCCGACCAGTCCTTGTTTTAGCCCCTTAATGCCGAGCGCCAGATAGGGTAACAACAAGTACCATCTTTTAACGTCTTTTGGTATGACGCGGCCGGGGATCGAACCCCAAACCTTCCGCTCTCCGGTTGGACGCTCTACAACTAGACCACGGAGGGGGTCCGTGTATGAGTGAGTGAGTAAGGTGTACTCCGTTTTTAGAAATATTCTAGCAATATCGCGGCGTGAACGCTTTAACCACTAGACTACCCAACCTCCCCGAGTTAAACATGAGAAGCATCAATCACGTCACTTAGTTCGGTCTTACTTCGTCAAAGGCTTGGCATATAACTATGCATCAGTTGATATTTAAAACTCCCAGGGTTAACTCTTTGTAAACTGAATGACGATCGCTTATCCAATCCTTTGTAAAGTATTTACTTCAATAACAGGCAGTGTCTTGAAGGCTTCAAGGATCGGGAGAGGATGACAACCGTCACTCTATTGCTTGTTATAAGAGGCGCCGTAAATGAGGATCTGATGGCAAGGATCGGTGACGTGATTAAGTGCGTGTCATCGTATCAGAAATGTTGGGACTTAGCTCAAAATATCAACCATTTGTTTGCCTGTAGAGACTCCATTATTAAACTACACTTTGGTAAAGGAAAAATAAACCTCGCCGTTAGACAAATAAACAAAGAGTGGAGGACAACACATCGGGCGACACATACAAAAAGACAACCAGTCCAAAATAAAGTGGCTCGGATCTTTAAGTTTGATACTTCCTTCCATCAGATTTGCTGTCAATCAAATGACATCAGTTAGTTTCAACCAGCTTGTACCAAACACTGACCAAAGAGCTGCCCTGTGAGGCTGGAACCAGTCTGTACCAAAAACTCACAAAGGAGTTGCCCTGTGAGACTGGAACCAGTCTGTACCAAACACCGGCCCAGGAGCTTCCCTGTGAGGCTGGAACCAGTCTGTACCAAACACTGACCAAGAGGCTGCCCTGTGAGGTTGGAACCAGTATGTACCAAACACTGACCAAGAGGCTGCCCTGTGAGGTTGGAACCAGTCTGTACCAAACACTGACCAAGAGGCTGCCCTGTGAGGTTGGAACCAGCCTGTACCAAACACTGACCAAGGAGCTGCCCTGTGAGGCTGGAACCAGCCTGTACCAAACACTGACCAAGGAGCTGCCCTTTGAGGCTGGAACCAGCCTGTACCAAACACTCACCAAGGAGCTGTCCTGTGAGGCTGGAACCAGTCTGTACCAAACACTCACCAAGGAGCTGCCCTGTAAGGCTGGAACCAGTCTGTACCAAACACTCACCAAGGAGCTTCCCTGTGAGGCTGGAACCAGTCTGTACCAAACACTGACCAAGGAGTTGCCCTGTGAAGCTGGAACCAGTCTGTACCAAACACTGACCAAGGAGCTGCCCTGTGAGGATGGAACCAGCCTGTAGCAAACTCTCACCAAGGAGCTGCCCTGTGAGGCTGGAACCAGTCTGTACCAAACACTGACCAAGGAGCTGCCCTGTGGGGCTGGAACGAGCCTGTACCAAACACTGACCAAGGAGCTGTCCTGTGAGGATGGAACCAGCCTGTACCAAACTCTCACCAAGGAGCAGCCCTGTGAGGCTGGAACCAGTCTGTACCAAACACTGACCAAGGAGCTGCCCTGTGGGGCTGGAACCAGCCTGTACCAAACACTGACAAAGGAGCTGTCCTGTGAGGCTGGAATCAGTCTGTTACAATGACAAATGTTTTGCCGAAGGACTAGATCAGAGGTTAGGTGTTAAGTCGATGTACCCGAGGACCGATCACTATCACAGCAGATTTACAATAACAGATGAAACATCAGATAATGAATAATAATCACATTAGCACTACATCATACCCCCCACTGTCCAACTCTTACAACCATCGAGACAACCCTCTCGTGCTGCACTGACATTATCATTGACACATGTCCCAGGCATTCACACCAGATGTGCTGACAAGTCATATCTTCTGAGTTTCCAAATTGTGCAGCGTTCACAAAGCTGCTTGTAATTAATGTCTGGATCGGCACAAAACACACACACACACACACACACACACATATATATATATATATATATATATATATATATATATATATATATATATATAAGTTACTGTATTGCTGTTTGAGTATAATAGTAACTCAATCCCCTATTGGGTCCTTGCATGTGTCGTAACTAACCATGACTCAATATCATCAATTGTCACTATTTGACTAAGATATTGCCGAAACGATGGTAAATAGAATGTACAACTCACTTATGTTATCAAGTGTTCTTTGGACATTTAAACGTAAACTTATGCAAGGATGGCTCGGGCGATTAAGGCCGTCAAGGTTTCAGAAACCTATGACCGTGGGTTTGGATGCAAAATTGAGATATTTTGGATGTGCTGATTGTTTCTTGGTTTGGCAGCACTATATCCCTGCCATGGAGTTTCACCAATTGGTACACGTCTAGACCTGCATCTCTTAAAGCTTCCTCCCACAACAAGCTTCCTCCCACAACAAGCTTCCTCCTACAACAAGCTTCCTCCCACAACAAGCTTTCTCCCACAACAAGATTCCTCCCACAACAAGCTTCCTCCCACAACAAGATTCCTCCCACAACAAGATTCCTCCCACAACAAGCTTCCTCCCACAACAAGATTCCTCCCACAACAAGATTCCTCCCACAACAAGCTTCCTCCCACAACAAGCTTCCTCCCACAACAAGATTCCTCCCACAACAAGATTCCTCCCACAACAAGCTTCCTCCCACAACAAGCTTCCTCCCACAACAAGATTCCTCCCACAACAAGCTTCCTCCCACAACAAGCTTCCTCCCACAACAAGCTTCCTCCCACAACAAGCTTCCTCCCACAACAAGATTCCTCCCACAACAAGATTCCTCCCACAACAAGATTCCTCCCACAACAAGCTTCCTCCCACAACAAGCTTCCTCCCACAACAAGATTCCTCCCACAACAAGCTTCCTCCCACAACAAGCTTCCTCCCACAACAAGCTTCCTCCCACAACAAGCTTCCTCCCACAACAAGATTCCTCCCACAACAAGCTTCCTCCCACAACAAGCTTCCTCCCACAACAAGCTTCCTCCTACTACAAGATTCCTCCCACAACAAGCTTCCTCCCACAACAAGCTTCTCCCACAACAAGATTCCTCCCACAACAAGATTCCTCCCACAACAAGCTTCCTCCCACAAGATTCCTCCCACAACAAGCTTCCTCCCACAACAAGATTCCTCCCACAACAAGCTTCCTCCCACAACAAGATTCCTCCCACAACAAGCTTCCTCCCACAACAAGCTTCCTCCCACAACAAGATTCCTCCCACAACAAGCTTCCTCCCACAACAAGCTTCCTCCCACAACAAGCTTCCTCCCACAACAAGATTCCTCCCACAACAAGCTTCCTCCCACAACAAGATTCCTCCCACAACAAGATTCCTTCCACAACAAGCTTCCTCCCACAACAAGCTTCCTCCCACAACAAGCTTCCTCCCACAACAAGATTCCTCCCACAACAAGATTCCTCCCACAACAAGCTTCCTCCCACAACAAGCTTCCTCCCACAACAAGCTTCCTCCCACAACAAGATTCCTCCCACAACAAGCTTCCTCCCACAACAAGCTTCCTCCTACAACAAGATTCCTCCCACAACAAGCTTCCTCCCACAACAAGCTTCCTCCCACAACACGCTTCCTCCCACAACAAGCTTCCTCCCACAACAAGCTTCAAGATTCCTCCCACAACAAGCTTCCTCCCACAACAAGCTTCAAGCTTCCTCCCACAACAAGCTTCCTCCCACAACAAGCTTCCTCCCACAACAAGCTTCCTCCCTATATATATAAGTTACTGTATTGCTGTTTGAGTATAATAGTAACTCAATCCCCTATTGGGTCCTTGCATGTGTCGTAACTAACCATGACTCAATATCATCAATTGTCACTATTTGACTAAGATATTGCCGAAACGATGGTAAATAGAATGTACAACTCACTTATGTTATCAAGTGTTCTTTGGACATTTAAACGTAAACTTATGCAAGGATGGCTCGGGCGATTAAGGCCGTCAAGGTTTCAGAAACCTATGACCGTGGGTTTGGATGCAAAATTGAGATATTTTGGATGTGCTGATTGTTTCTTGGTTTGGCAGCACTATATCCCTGCCATGGAGTTTCACCAATTGGTACACGTCTAGACCTGCATCTCTTAAAGCTTCCTCCCACAACAAGCTTCCTCCCATAACAAGATTCCTCCCACAACAAGCTTCCTCCCACAACAAGATTCCTCCCACAACAAGATTCCTCCCACAACAAGATTCCTCCCACAACAAGATTCCTCCCACAACAAGCTTCCTCCCACAACAAGCTTCCTCCCACAACAAGCTTCCTCCAACAACAAGCTTCCTCCCACAACAAGCTTCCTCCCACAACAAGATTCCTCCCACAACAAGCTTCCTCCCACAACAAGCTACCTCCCACAACAAGATTCCTCCCACAACAAGATTCCTCCCACAACAAGCTTCCTCCCACAACAAGCTTCCTCCCACAACAAGCTTCCTCCCACAACAAGATTCCTCCCACAACAAGCTTCAAGATTCCTCCCACAAAAGCTTCCTCCCACAACAAGCTTCCTCCCACAACAAGTTTCCTCCCACAACAAGCTTCCTCCCACAACAAGATTCCTCCCACAACAAGCTTCCTCCCACAACAAGCTTCCTCCCACAACAAGCTTACTCCCACAACAAGCTTCCTCCCACAACACGCTTCCTCCCACAACACGCTTCCTCCCACAACAAGCTTCCTCCCACAACAAGATTCCTCCCACAACAAGATTCCTCCCACAACAAGATTCCTCCCACAACAAGATTCCTCCCACAACAAGCTTCCTCCCACAACAAGATTCCTCCCACAACAAGCTTCCTCCCACAACAAACTTCCTCCCACAACAAGCTTCCTCCCACAACACGCTTCCTCCCACAACACGCTTCCTCCCACAACACGCTTCCTCCCACAACAAGCTTCCTCCCACAACAAGATTCCTCCCACAACAAGATTCCTCCCACAACAAGCTTCCTCCCACAACAAGATTCCTCCCACAACAAGCTTCCTCCCACAACAAGCTTCCTTCCACAAGAAGATTCCTCCCACAACAAGATTCCTCCCACAACAAGCTTCCTCCCACAACAAGCTTCCTCCCACAACAAGCTTCCTCCCACAACAAGATTCATCCCACAACAAGATTCATCCCACAACAAGCTTCCTCCCACAACAAGCTTCCTCCCACAACACGCTTCCTCCCACAACAAGATTCCTTCCACAACAAGATTCCTCCCACAACAAGATTCCTCCCACTGCGGTGCAGTTGAAATACTGTTCCAAGCAATGTTACACAGATCTTACTCACTCACTTGCTCAGTTGCATCGTTCTTCAACGCTAGACTATTGCAGTGTAATAATTATGTGATGACACGCTTGAAGCAATGTTTCAATCATATTCTACCACAGAACGGATATATACAGAGGTGAGGTGAAATGGGGTTTAACGTCGCGTCCAAGATTATTGCACTTATAAAGCGACGTGCATGTACGTGTGTGTGTTTGTGTGGCTGCTTGTACTAGTCCGGACTGATGCCGATTTATAGTGCTAGCCCACTGAGATACCATGCCGCAGTTTAACATGAATACCCCACTCAGACACAGTATGCTGACTCCGAGCCGACCAGTCCTTGTTTTAGCCCCTTAATGCCGAGCGCCGGACAGGGTACCAACAAGTACCATCTTTTAACGTCTTTTGGTATGACGCGGTCGGGGATCGAACCCCGGACCTTCCGCTCTCCGGGCGGACGCTCTACCACTAGACCACGGAGGCGGTCCGAATGGATACAGAACATTGGCAATGCTGATAGTTCATTAGCCGGGGATACTATTATACCCTGAAGTTGTCTACTTGTCTCTATGGGGCTATATCGTTGGTAAGTGACAGTGATTTCGCCAATCACATTACAAGGAACGAGCATGGCACAATCACAATACCAAGTACAATGTTATCGCACAATCGAAGTGTTCAGTACACCATCTGTATTTCACACTCCGGTCTCACGTTCCCCGTTTTTTTAATTTTCAGACCCTCTTAACATACATCTAATCGGGTTTCAAGCGGAATTGAGTATTTCAATTAGAAGGAAATGCGGTTAATAACATAACGTCACGATCCGGAAGGAATTCAAAAGGATAAATAACCAACAGAAACTTAATGCCAATCTCAGTGAAACACAACCGATATCAATGTATTCGTTCCAACCACATATACAGCATAAGCTGTAAAACAATTCCCATCTTCAGCTAGGTGTTATTAGATTTATTTTACTGAAGCAAAAGACCTTTCTTATATTCTTGAAATGTAATGTTGATATTGAAAA